CTTCCTATAGTTAATAACGATTCGTATCTTCCTATTAGACTTTAGAATACTAAAGATAGGTACGCCTATACTAGATCTAGACTTATATATCTAGCTCTTAGCTAGTATCTTACGTAGCTACTTATCTTCTTCTTAGAGTACGTATTCGGATTTCTTAAATAGTAGTACGAATAGGAGCTCCGTTCCGAGTTTTAGGTTAATCTAGTAATCCTATTTCTAGTATTTAAGTAAAGTAGTAATATCTTCTACTTCTTTAAAGAGTTTCGCTTATTTTTAATACTCTTTAGAGATATCGAGTTCCGAGGCTATATTCTTCGATAGTATATTACTTCTATCTATTCTCGTAACTTATTTATCCTCCTTACTATTACGAGTAACTATTCGAGTTAGGCTCGATTATTTCGTAGCTCCGGGCGACTAGAGTATTATTTCGTTAATCTATTTCCTAGCTTTATCTATTAGTAAATACTATCGCTATATAGAGTTAATACCGATAACGTAATCGTATTATTTAAACCTAAGTACTCCTTATTTCTAATCGATAATTAGATTATACTTTCTTAACTAAAGTATACCTAGTACGACGTTATAACTAGCTATATTAGTAATATCTAAGACAATTTCCTCGTAGTACTATTAGATAGTAAGTAGTAACGGAATAGTTTCTCGTTCTATACTTAGTAACGATAATCTGTCGACTACGATTAATTCGTACTCTTTGTCCTTCGATTAGATAGCTATTCTATATCGCTTTACGAATAATTTAGAGGCAAAGTTCCCGCTCGCTCTAGAATTAATTATAGCTTAGACCTTATATCTATTAACGGTAATATTAGTACGAAAGACTAATATTAATACTTAAGCGTTTTCTATATTATAGAACTCTCTTTAGACACTTATTCCTTAAGAGTCGATCCTTTTTCTAACTAGGTCTCGATAGTAGATATCTTATCCTATTCTCGGATCTAGTATAACGTATATTAGATTATTTTATATATAGCTTTCTTTTCTAAAGTCTCGATATAAGTATATATTAACTAATACTATTATATCTTAGTATATTATTCGGAGATCCGGCGTATACTTTCTCGTACTAAGTTCGGTACGATTTCTTCGCTTAGAGTAATATATCTAAATAGCGTAATTATACTTCTAATAGGAACGAGTTCTTATACGAGCGACCTAAAGTCGTACTATATAGAGACTCTTAGTTAGTTCTAGAGCTTAACGCGAAGCTTATTAAGTATATAGTCGAACTTAGTAGAGTATAAATATCGTTTTCTACTAATCCCTAGAAATATATCTTCTTATTATATAGCTAGGAATAGTATAACCTTACGTAT